TTATTCATATTTAGTTGTTAAACCAAAGTATCTACCCAATTCTAAGGGGGTTCTGATGATGGTAGATTACACTTAAAATTATTATCAGGACTTTTCCATCATCTTTTCTTTAAAAGCCCACGATGTTCCGGAGGCTGGTTCTATCTCCGTCTTCAGGTGAGACCCAACAGAGTAGGTACCTCTCACCTGAAGACGGAGACAGAACCAGCCTCTGAAACGTCACAGGATTTTAAACAAAACACGATGGAAAAAGTCCTGACAATGAATAATTCAAAGTATCTACTCATCAGCAGGGACGGACAAAATTGCAGCTGCAATATTACAGATGTGGAGCATCTGACCTCGCAACTGTATCGCTTATTTAGAGATTGCCTGGCATCTGAAAGTATTTCTACAGTCTGGAGGCAAACAACGGAGACATTTATACCCGCACCCAGGAAGGCAAGCTATACTGAGGCTAGGACATGTTGTCCAATAAGCCTGTCGTCATTTTTACTAAGACGATGGAGAAACTGGTGGAGACGTGCTTAAGGGATGTGATGAGGATTTTAAATCTGCATTAAGACAGAAACAGACCTAGCGGTGTTCCTTGATATAGATGGTGATTTAGATAGAACCTGTAAGACTTGAGGTTCTCACAGCGGTGAGTATGAAGATATCCGTCTTCTGGGTTATTGCGCTGTGTAGTCTGGTCGATGTTAACCAACGTTTCAGAGAATATATTCATCGCCCTGATGACGGAGGCAGTATGACCTCTGAAACGTTGGTTAACATCGACCAGACTACACAGCGCAATAACCCAGAAGACGGATATCTAGATAGAACCTCATTTTATGTGACAATAGAAGCTATTTAACAACAATGAACCAGTATATCTCAGTTAGTATAGTGACTGCATATGGACTGCATGACCGGGGTTCAATCCCTGGCAAGGGCAGAGGATTTTCCTCTAGCCCCTACATCCAGACTGGTTCTGGGGCCCACCCAGCCTCCTATCCAATGGGTACCGGGGTCCTTTCCCGGGGGTAAAGCGCAACCAAGGCGTGATGCCGACCACTCGCCCCCCATCTAGTGCCGAGTTCAAGAATGAGGAGGAGCTATACCTCCTCTTCCCCCATGTGTGTACGTGACGTATAGTGGGACGGCTTTACTTTACTGAACAACAATAGATGGGACCTACCATCGTAAGATAGATAAGAACCATGCTGGAAAGCTTTAACATAACAGCCACACAGTCTGGGCAGACCCTTGAGGCGTGTGGGCAGGGGTTATCTGCGAGGGGGGCGGGGCGGCATTTTATCGCCCCTGCTGTGAATAAATTCAACAAACCATTCATGGTAAAGTTAACCAACAGAAGTGAATGGGATAGGGGCATTTTACCCACAAAACAAGACCAACTCATCTGGTATATAGATGAAGTCACTGGAGCCATGGTATATGACCATGGCAAGAAAGAACTATCATAATAGAAACATTTAAATTTTCTCAGATAGTCAAGCCACAATCAAAGCACTTGACAAATGTAAAACTCACTCAAGGACGGTCTGGGATTTCCATACATCCCTTATGAAACTGGCTGTACACAACGACGTCTATTTGGTGTGGGTGCTGGGACATAGGGGAATTAATGCCAATGAAATTGCAGACCAGCTACCCAAAATGGGCTTCCTGCGCCCATTTACAGGATCTGAACCAACCTGGAGGATTTCTGGAAATGTAACAAGATAAGCTATGAAGTACTGAGTCTGCAGGAAACGCCATAAAAATCAGCAGTCCGTCTTAATACAAAGACATGCAAGGGGCTTCCCTAGATGGGCCTTTTGTCAAAAGAACCACTCACCTCTTGAAGTCCAGCAAGCTCTCAAAAATAAACATGTGACAGAACTACCAACAGGACAAGAGACGTCTCATGAAATTGGGGAAGGTAAGGAGCCCCAATAGCAGACGGTATAACCAAGAAACAGAAAGAGCCTCACAAGATCGTGTCACTGTGAGGCTGTACTTTAAATCTGCCATTTGTGCAAGCTTCTCCTGAAGCCAGGTGACTACCATGAGATCCCATTAAGTAAGAAACTGTGCTTTATTGCTAGCACAGGGCTACTTAAAACCTTGCCTACCATGCAGTTTATTGATACATAAATCATGCATACAAACAAAAACTGTTTACACATTAAATAGCACTCTGTGCCAAACATGTTTCGACCTCAAGAGGTCATCATCATTGGCAAAAACATTAATTCATTAATCTATTAAAATCATACAATTCATTAAATGATGGTTTGCTATAAAGCACTGTAAAAGATTGTACTTTATAAAACTATACTTCATTTAATACCGCACTGAACGTTTAATTGTGCATGAGTTGGTGTATTATCTAAATTGGGTTACTCAACTTAAACGTCCACTGGCCCAAGTTTTACTCGAGGTTTCCGTTGTCGGTCTACGATGAGCCGTGGTTTGCGTTGTCTGTGCCTGGACTGTAAACTTCAATGTTGCACGGGTATTAATAGACAAGACTAATGAATTAATGTTTCTGCCATTGATGATGACCTCTTGAGGTTGAAACGTGTTTGGCACAAAGTGTTATTTAATGTGTAAACAGTTTTTAAGATATTGTAGGTGCGCTATATTGTGATTTTATTTAAAAATAGTATTAAAATATATTAAAATTGTCCGTCAATCACAATAAAGTAATATAAGATAATTAAATGGTTAAAATATTATCCTTTGTTCCGTATCGAGTACTCGATTTACATATGGAACATTCTCGACATGTTTCGGCTTTCATAGAGCCGTCATCAGGTGTATGTTATAAACTCTTAATTCAAAAATGTTGATACAATGTGAAAAACGAAGAAATGATAAGAAAATTAAAAATTAGTAATTGAATTAAGAGTTTATAACATACACCTGATGACGGCTCTATGAAAGCCGAAACATGTCGAGAATGTTCCATATGTAAATCGAGTACTCGATACGGAACAAAGGATAATATTTTAACCATTTAATTATCTTATATTACTTTATTGTGATTGACGGACAATTTTAATATATTTTAATACTATTTTTAAACAGTTTTTGTTTGTATGCATGATTTATACAGGGTTACTACCTCATCAGAATGGGGAAGCACACAAAATCAGAAGTTGCAGTGCAAGGGTCACCTTCGTGCCCATCCCATATACATATATCTACTTGGCCAAATGTAATCAGTATCTGTCAATCATGATATGGTGATAAAGCACTCATGGCACAGAAAATCTTACAAATAATAAATAAACAATCCTTTCAAATAAGAGACCAGCATTCACACATACACACATATATGCAGTACATACTTATGAAACTTGACATAAGCAAATCCTTTGCTCTCCTTTGTTTCTCGATCCTTAACAACGGAAACATAATCTATATCTCCAAACTGCTTAAAATGATCTCGCAGCATCTGGTCAGTTGTCGTCTTAGGTACCACGCAAAATAACCGTAACAATCTCTCTTCCTCATTCATTTCACGTTTTGAGCCTTGATCACGGCTGAAAGGAGAAAATGTCCTGTGTTCAATGTGGATTCTATGACATTTGGCCCTTCATACATCTGTTCATGGACTGAATAAAATCAGCATATGCTCCCATGTACCAACACAACAAATTATTTCTCTTTGAATGCAGGTTCTAGAACATTTTAACATTGTTGGACACTAAATAATACACTGTATTCTTATTTCTGTTTACAAAAATCTCCCTCTATAAACACATTCTGTAACATGCAATAACCGTGGCCATTATTTATTTATTTCGTGTTCTGTCTGACGACAGGGCCATATGAACAGGGTCCTTCCATCCTTTTCTCGGACTGGGGCCTGTTCATATACGTTCTTGGCAGATGATTCAGAAGTGGTTTGCCATTGCCTTCTTCTGTGTGTGAATGGAGTAATTGTTGGGATGCCACGGAGGAAAACTCCGTGTTGCCTAGACCACGGCCTTGCCCAACACAAGTTATAAATTCGGGCACCGCCAGGAATCGAACCCGAGACCCCGGGATTACAAGGCCAGCGTTCTAACCGCTAGACCACCGTGGCTATATGCAATAATATTACAATGTAAATATCACTTGTGATGCCTCAATTTGTAGCAAACAAAGTCAATTTGCTAATAAATGAATAGCACTATATACTTACTATGGAAATAAAAATAGCACAACATAGCAAACAAAGAACAAATATAACATAACCAACCCTTCTGCAGTAAAGGAACAAATTATTCTAGTAATTACATGTTTCTCATGGTCTGACTTGGTAGAATTTCCAACCTCAAACCTAAAGGTTAGTGAATAGTTTGCAAAAGCAAAGATTTACAGTTGTCTATCACATTCAAAGTCCAAGGTAAATTAAACTGTATGTTCGCTCAGCTACACATTTTCATCTGTCTACATGCCACCATCATTTTGGAGAGATGGAAGAATGCCTTAAGCATTTACATTCAATATAAATGTAGGCAGTAGGACTGCCATGGACTGACTGGTGAAATATCAAAATGACTCCAACACTGAAAAACTACAATAAACATAAAACTGACACTATATTCACAGTCTGTACTAGCAAATGATGGCGTTTCTTTCATTTCAATTTTATTTTAATCGGAACTGCAGGAAGTTTATGTTGTTATTCAATTAAATCTGCTGGATACTATAAACCAAATGTTGTAAAACTGCAAAAAAATAATTGGAACGTTATGAATCACTTGAAAATACAAATATGCAAATACACTGACAGTAATATGTTGTGTGTTCTACCACCTGAAGCAAAACATACCGAACAACAACGAATTTATTAAAGTGGTACTTACCTATGTGCAATCATAACTTTCAAAGGTCTTAGATGTGGAACTATACAGCAACCATTCATTTCTTCCAGTGCCAGGGCTGCTTCCGAAGTCTTTGAAAACTTAATATAGGTGACACCTAAAACATATTACCAGTAAAGTACCTGTCATAAAATTGAAATCATACAGATCTACACCAACAGCCACCGTCCATCAGCTTGTAGGCTACTTCACCTTTAGGCTCTCCAGTGCTTCTGTCTCTGACGACCCATATCTCTTCAATAGTTCCATATTTTTCAAAGGCAGTACGAAATTCCTCTTCCGTAATACTTTTGTTGCAAACTATAAACAATCTTGAATTCGGTGGTTCATCAAGTTTCGGTTTACTGACATCAAAACCATCCCGATCCTTTTCTTCCTTATACTTTCGTCTATCAGCCATTTTGTCTGCGTGTTCCTTCTACGCATTACGAGGCACAGATTGTATGAGTAGACCAAAATAAATTAATGATAACTTTCTAAAATATTCTGTGATTTCATGTTCACAGTCCACGGCCACATATCTAAATAAATGCTGCTCGTTGTTAAAGATCCAAAACCAAAAACGAACTTTACGATCGTTGAATGATGTACGATACTGTGCTTTATAATCACAATTCTCTGAAGCCGAAGGTCGTCTACATAATATTTAAAGATCCACTGCTTCAAAGAAAACACATATCTCTTTACAAAGAAAGAAATAATCCCTGTAGGATTTGAGGTTTCACGGTGGTGAGACTGAAGGCGGCTGTCTTCTGGGTTGTCGTGTAGCTTACTCATAGCCATGATGATGGAGGCATCAAGGACCTCTGAAACGTCGGTAAACTCCTACCACACTACGAGGCACAACAACCCAGAAGACAGCCGTCTTCGAAATAATCCCTCTTTTCTCTAAGAATCATAAGAAACCCATAATTGCTCAGTGTGAGCAATGCTCAAAGTTACGAACTGGTGGGGTGAAAGAGTTAAAGGTGAAAATAAGAACCACCCATGTAATTAACGATTTGCGGAAACTACCAAAACGAATAAGGGATGAAGGGTTAAAAGGGTACAATTCACGTCATGTACTGCTTTAACATTCATTGTAAGATCGGTGTCCCTTATCTATGCTTATAAAGTCATTAGTAGTGTGTCCACAGTGTTACTGCGGGGAAATGTGATAGGTGTTTAAAGTTTTTGCACGTCGTTATTGCCCAAAAGCATTCCATAGGTATGACCATTGGATATTTATCGAATTTTACATGAGAAAAGTATTCCGAAACAAACATCTTCAATGGGACTCGAATCTAGGGCAGTTTTCAAGCTTCCTGCAATAATCTCGCCGATACGAACATCTCACACCCTTCTTCTATCGCGTTTAGTTTCGGAGCTACAGGAACCGCCCTAACCGAAAATTGAACTCAGTAAACTTTCCAAGATTTTTGATTTTCTATTTTTGGTTCTGAAGGAATAAGAATGCCAAGTTTGGTGTAAAAATTACACTTAACAGGAATTCATGTTCTGTATTAAATCACAATAAATCACGCTAAATGTCGATCTTAGGGAGGCCACGGTCCTCAGAGGACCGTAGAGCCACGGAGGAAGGAAATGTTGATCTTTCGGTCTTGTTACAGGCATAAACATGATAACCACAACATGTGCATCCTCGGTGGGCAGGAAGGGAATTGATTTATTGCAGAGATTAAAATACTTTGAGTGCTTATTCATTGACTGGTACATAAAAAATCCCTTTCACATGCACGTTTATTGTTATTTGATTGTTTGGATATCTGAAAAAGGATTAAATATCAGTCCCATGAATATCGGCAATAAAGTCACTTTGTAAAAGCACCCACATATCCCTAGTATAATGCCTTTGAATCTGTGCTGCAAGGACGCACTGAAAATCTGAATTCCAAAGTTGGACCAACTGTCATTATTCAAAATGGTTTCTAGAATTATACAATGAGCAAGAACTTGCAGCTTACCCAGTATTAAGAACGATTCAGATATTTACTCACTGAATTAAATATTGTGCACTTCTCTCGCACCTGTAATTTTGCTCAGCAGAAGCTTTTGGTTTGCTGCTGCAAGTCTAAAGTCAAACAAAGGTAGTCATGAGTGGCAATAATTCTCATATTATTCCTTTGTATGTGTCATAAAAATATAAGCAACATGAGAATCTTCATCTGTAACATAATAATGGGATGATCATTCTTTTTGCCATTAATTTGCTCCATCATTAGCATCAATTAACCTATTATTATACCTATTAAAGGGATGGTCAGTTCTTGTTACAATCATAATCATCATAAAGCCCATATAAATCAATAATCAGTCACTGTCTATGTCACAAGGTTTGGTTTTGTCATTATCATCTGATGGTATTCATAGAAACTGCATGCATAATAATTCCTGTTAAATCTCATGGTGAAATTATGTTACTTTGTAATACTGCGCAATACTTATAATGAATTGTGGAAAGTGAAACACTACAAAAATCTGTCATAGTAAAATTTATTGAACAACAAAAAGAAAAGTGTTGTATATTAAAAGCATAAGGACAATGAGACATTG